AACGCAGAAAACCAAAAAATTGCTGTAATGCTAACTTGCGGGTTAATCGGATACGTTGATTGCAAAATTCTATTTACCGCAACAGGGTTTACTGTAAGATTACTATAGGAAAGCTACAGTGGTCAAAATCACAGATTAGCTCGATTCATTTTGATGAGGCTATTTGACATGCTACAACAAAAATCATACCCACAATAGCCTCCACTATAAGTAAGGGTGAATATATGATGGTGAGGTCAAAAATACTAATTAAAAAAAGAAAACTGGATAATTTCATGTCTACCATTAGAAGTACTTTACGATGAAGAACGAGTACTTTTTTAAACACCATTGTCAATTAATCCTATTAGACTACTTCAGGTAAATTGGTTAATTTGGCTCTATGTCCTATACCTAACGTAATCCTATAGTAAAGTACTATGTAGGGAATGCCCATACTTTTCCTAATCAACATGGTTAATTACCCCACAAGGTAACGCTAGTGAACCCGGCTCCTCACAATCCAGAAAAAAATTAGCTGTGGTGAGCTTTTTCGGCCTACTAAAGATAAATTTTCATTTCACTTCTAACAAAACCAAGAATGTCGCATTGTAGAGGGAGACTTCTTCTCTTAGGCAATGTATAACTTATTGCCAAAACTCTCGGTTTCTCGAAAATAGAGTTTGAAGAAAAACAGCACAAACTCTAAAATCCATTCGATTTAAGGCAGAGATGTCAACAGTTCAAAAACAACGTTAGGCATTACTCAGCATACTTCTTTTCCAACTTATGTCCCTTTTCCACTAATATCGATTACCTCTGTAAGCTCGTGAAGTCCACAATACTCCATCAATTAGCAATCGTACTTCAGGCTTAATGTTTTCCCAAATGCGGCTGATCGAAACTGGGAGTTCGATTGCGAGAGCAGAAAGTTGTTGCTCAACTAATTGCTTATACTCGCGATCCAAGATGTTTGCATCCACCTGCTCTATTCGTAACGATTCGCATGTCATCTGCGAAGATAAGGATTAAAAAAACACGTTTGATGAAAGCAATAATTTTACAATGGAGTGCTAAAAGGATGAGAAGACAAAAAAAAATTCTTTTTTTCGAAATTGCAGAAGTGATTTCCAGAT